AACCACCAGCAGACACAATGCCACCACCACACCTGGATTCCTGTGTAACTCAGGGACCCTCAGCTCACCAGGAGCTGGGAGGAGGAGTCCTAAGTCAGTCCCAGTTCCAATCTGGCCCCACTCCCCATCTGAGACACCCGCCAGGTCCCATAGCCTTTTCAGCCCTGCTGATCAGCCGCACTCGCTTCCCTTCCCTTTTCTGCTGCGATGTTTTTAAAGCACATTTTTGTCCTTAGGCTTTTAGGTATGTGTGCCTAAAGGGAATTCATTTTGTTGGCTAGTTTTCTCTGTCGCTGTTGGTCAATCTGGAGTGTTCTGACAAAGGACAAAACTCTACTCCAGAGCTCCATTTCCAAAGGCCACAATATCCTGAGACTGAATGCACTTGGTGGAGAAAGCTGATATTCCGCGACTCTAGGCGAAAGGTGATTTCATTTCATGCTTGTACTTTTCTTTGTACATTTTGGACTGTTGACAGTAAGTGTTTCTTTTTAAATAATGATTTTTCTGGACTACCTAAAAATGCCTTTCCTCTGTGGAGCCTCTGGGACCCTGTGTGGTCTGAATCGGGCAACCTCATTGCCCCCAACTTGAACCCCACCAGCCTCCTCACTGTTCTTCAAACAGACAAGCGTTTCCCCAACCCAGGACCTCTGCATGGGCTGTGTCCTCTGCCTGGGCTTCTATCCCCCTAGATACCTGTATGGCTCCTTCCTTCAACTCCTTGAAATGACTAATATTAAAAATGTCAAAGCATTTGTGCTGAAATGTCCCCCTTATCCTGGTTTATTTTGCTCTTTTAAAAACATGTATAATTTACTCATTTATTATCGGACTCACTATCGGAGCAAGGATTTTTGTCTCTCTGGCACACACTAGGGACACTTAACAAATCTATGCAGAATGGAGGCGCAAAGGGCTTTGTGTCTGTGTTGGGGGTGGGGTGGGAGGAATGGGCAGAAGGGTCCTAAGCACATTGCCAATTCCGTGGCTCCCCCTGGTGGCTGTTCCCCAGAACTGCAGTCTGACATTCAACCTCTTGGTACTTACAGGGATCTGAGGAGCCAGTCTTGGAGGTGGTGTTGGAAGTAGAGGAGGACTGTGTTTCCAGGATGAAGGGAGTGGGGCTCCAGTGTAGGGTCAAGGAGGTTGAACTTAGGGGGGCTGGAGTGGGAGGTGAGGAGTTGCTCAGAACTGGGGGGCCAGAGCTGTGGTGGGAGTTTGTCTCTGGTGGTGGGGAAGTAGGGTTTGTCTCTGGACTTGAGGAGCTCAAGTGGGTGGATCCTATCCCTGAACGTGGGGAGCTTAAGTAGGTGGTGGAGGGTTTCCCGGAAATTGAATTATTGAGGTGGGTGGTAGGAGATTCCCCTAAACTTGAGTGGATGAAGTGGGTGGGGTGTGTCTCCGAATGTGGGGTGCTAGGGTGGGTGGTAGAGGTTTTCTCTGTACTTGGGGAACTGTGGCTGGAGGGGGAATAGAACAGAGACGTGGGAGCAGAGGTCTTCACTGATTCGTTCAAGTTCAGTGAAGCTGTAGCACCTGGAGAGAAAAAATCAGGAGGACCGGGCACAGAAGATTAGCAACAGGCTGCGGGTGAGAACTCCAGAGCTGTGCATCCTGGGGAAGGTTAACGCCCCTCTCTTGTCACCTCTTCCCCTATTAGGACACCACGTGAGTGCTCAGTGGAAAATGGAAACACCATTGACTCAGATCCAACACTTCTATTCTTTGAGCCTCTGGATTTGGGGGAAAGTGGCCACTGAGGCAGCCGATTTGTTTCTAACATCTAGGACTCACAGAATAAGCCCTCAACTGCAAGATCAGTTTGAACTGCAAGGTTGGCAGTTCAAACTCACAAGCCGCTCCTCTGAAACCCTATGAGTTAGAACCGACTCGACAACACTTAACAACAACAACAACAGGACTCATGAGGCACTGTAGAATAATAAAGTGCTGGACTGCAGGTCAGATTGAACCGCGAGGTTGGAAGTTCAAACTCACCAGCTGTTCCTTGGAAATCCTATACAGGGTTGCTATAAGTAGGAACCAACTCCACAGCACTTAACAACAACAACATCTAGGACTCCGTTTCCTTTGCTGTAGGATAGAGTTTACGGGAAATCCAGCTTCTCTGAGTGCAGTGCACAGTACAGATGAACTGCAAATGATCAGTACTAATGATCTTCCAACCGTGGGTGATGCAAATGGTTCAGCCCTCAGCTGCTAACAGAAAGGTTGAAGGTTTGAGTCTTCGCAGAGGTACCTCAGAAGAAACGTTTGGAGATCTACTTCTGAGAAATCAGCCACTGAAAACTCTATGGAACACACTTCTGCTGTGACGCACAGGAATCTCCAGGAATGAGACTGCAAATACTTGAACAATTTTCAGGTGCAACTCAGAGCTGTAATAGGGAGCACAGAGGCCTGGGTCCTGGGACATATCAGCTGATCATGTCTCTGGAACTCACTCTGCCTCTCTCCAACCACTCCCTGGTCCCCACCCAGTCAAAGGCATGGAGCCAGGGGCTGATCTAAGGGTGGGTAAATATTTTGTAGGCCACTTCTCACAGTTCTTTCCTACCCAGGTTCCAGGCCACTAGACACCTTGGCTGTTCACACATCCAGTCATCAACCACTCCCTGCCCTGCCCTACCCACTCTGCCTCAGTTGATCTGTGTCTCCTTCCTCACCTGCTCCAGGCACTAGAAATACAGAAATAAACCCAGCACAGAAGGGGGCTGAGTCCAAACACACCCCGCTATACACTATTCTATCTCTCCAGTCTCCCATGCCTTTCGGGGATGATAGAAGAGTCTAGAAAAGTTACTGAGTTTGGGCCCAACTTTATCCCCCTTTTAGATGATTGACTGACATTCAGAGGGATAGAGAGTCTGACCTCCAGGGAGTCAGGGCCAGTCTCCCCAAATTGCATCCCATAACCATTTGAGGAAGAATCCAGACTACAAGAGGTTCCTCTTGAACTGAAGATGACCCAGGAGTCATAGGCAAGCTAAGCCAGAACTCTGGCTCTCTGAATTTTTAATGCAAATTGGGGGAAAGTGGTGGGCCTAGGTAGAGGAGGTGGTGTTTGACATGGCCCTGGAGCACAGTAGTTGTTCGTAAACCGCTGGAGAAAGAACCAGAAGAAGGTAAACAGTAAGTATACCAGGTGTTTGTTTTTCCAGACTCCCAAACCAGGAAACTGGTATGAACCAAGTTAGTCAGTTCTAATCATGGTCCTACATAGACTGGGGACCTCAGCTGGGCCAAGCCTCAGTTTCCTAAGCTGGGAAATGGGGATGAACATGGTGTTTTCTGAATGAAGCCCCTGCCTGAAATAAGCATCTCATCCATATTGGCTTCTGTTCTGATATCACTGGACTAAGGGACAAGAGTTCGGTGGGAAGTAACTTATGTGGGAAGATCTGGAAGGATCTCCATCCTGGGGATCATCTTACAGGGTAGCAGGAGGGAAGAAAGTCAGAAATCCAGCAGGACTTCCCAAGGGGTTGCCATAGACACTTGATAACCTGGAAGGGAGCTCCTGTCCCCTTCCATGGCCCTTGGATCTCCAGACCCTCCCTTTGGGGGGCTGAGCTAAGAGACACTTTCATTTGAAACAGAGCCTGACACGAGATATAAACCACTAGCTGGTCCATTCCTGCTGGGACCTGAAGTGGGGAGCCCTAGAGTTGGGAGGGTTCCAGATGTTCTCATGACTCCTCCCTCACTTGAGTCTGAAGAAAGTGTTAGGCCTACTTGCGAGGGTGGGGTGGGGTAGGGGGACCGATGATAAACGGGCACCAGATTCGTGGACAGGACATGTGTCCCAATTTTCTAGAATCCCGGCCTCCATTTCACCTGTTCTTACCTATAAAGGTGACAATGGTGGGAGTCCCATTAGATTTCAACAGCAACGCCAGCACCAGAAGTAGCAGCAGCGGAGGCAGCTGGGAGACCGCCATTCTGGCTCCGGGCGGCCCGGCCACTCTTCACAGGTGTGCGCCCAGGTGTGCGCGCTTTACGACTGCGCGCGCCCCCTACTGGCGGAGCACGGAAATGCTCAGGAGTGAGGAGGAGGCGGGGCCTCGGGCCGCCACCGTGGCTATGGAGACACTGCAGTTCCTCAGCGGTGCCGTTCCTGTCCCTCCATCTCGACCTCCACCCTTCTTAAGCAGTCTGCCTGGGCCCTGACTCCGAAGTCTTCATACTGTCCCTTATCTAGGATACCCCTGCCTCTCTGGGTCTCCCAGCCCCCAGCCCCTGCAGCCTCTGCCCATTCCCATTAACTGCCATGACGTCCATACCACCCCCCTCTCCTCTCACTCTCCCAGTCTCTGCACATGAACACTGTCCCTTGACTAGCTTAAGCCCAATGCCACTGTTCCCCTGTCAGGCAGTTTCCCTGAAAACCCCTCCAAGCACCCCAGCCTCTTTGCTCCCTCTGCCTGTCCATGACCCACCTTTGAGGTGTCTGAGTCTACCTCTGTCTCCCCAGACAAGGGCCTCCTCAGGGGTGGGCCCAGCATCCCAAAAGAGGACATGCTTAGAACCTTGTCGATTCTCTAGAAAGAGGCAGCCATGTGAGGATTTTCTAGTGCCAAGGGACTGCTCTGCAGGCATCTGGCATGTGTTGGAGACAGCTTCCATCTGGAATTGACTAGATACCACCAACACCACCAACACCGCCCTCCCCCCCCAGTGGGGGAACAGATACAGTGAGGCCATACTGGCAGCTCCCAACTTCCAGAAAGACTTGGGGGTCCCCATTAGGACTTTAGACATTGGTGCAAATGGGGTGGCTGGGAGCTTTGGGGCTCCTCCCACCAGGATACTGCAGATCCTTTTATCCCTGTTTCTGAACAGCCCGGATTAGGATTAATGCAACACCAGTCATTGAACCAAGCAACCCGAGGCTCAGGCTATGAAGGACTTTATTCATAGACCCAGAGACCCACACAGCCTCTCCTGGTGTCTCCTTGAGTTGGGCAGCTGGACTCCTAGACGCCAGGCCACTTCATGCACCTTGGACTCTCCCATGACATCCCTGGACTCAGGAGTGCGTCGGCCGTGAGACAGGTCCTGGTGAAGTGACCACGCCAGCTTGCTTGTACCTTCTTGGCTGCCCCCTGCTGCTGCCTGAGATGGCGGCGGGTCAGGAAGCCCCGCCAGGCTGACTGGATGGATATGGCTGCTCTGTGGTGGTGGTGTGGGAGTTGGGGGCTGCAGGGAGTCTGTTGGGCACCATGGGTCTTCCGTGACAGTGCACCCTCCCAGCCACCAGCAGCCTGGCCCGTGCCCTGCACCACACGAGTCGGCATGGTCTGTCCACACATGTGGCAGGTACGGGGGCTGGAACCCACAAGCAGAACCACACTGGGCGGGCTTCCCAGCCCAAGGCTCAGTGTCTGGCAGAAGGCACAGGAACGTGGCTGACAGGACTGGAAGCATCGGTGCTCTGATGAGGTTCTGCTCCAGTCTCCCGATGTTGCCTGTGTGGCCAGCTGCATCATCAGCTGGTAATGCTCCCTGCGGGCACGGTAACTGCGCCATCGTGCCTGGATGATTCGGGCAGCTGCGTGCATCTGGGAGAGTTGCTTCCGCACTACGTGGCCACGCCACACTGCCTGAATGATGATGGCACTGTGGTGCCACACTTTAATCATACGGCGCACAAGATAGCCACGGACGTGGGCCTGGAGAATCACCACGGCGTGAATGATCGGATCCACCGTCGACACAAACGGCTCCCCTGACCTCCTGGAGTCCACTGTTGTGGCGTCCCATGGTCCTGCGCCCCTGGCCGACTGCACACTCCTGGGGCCCGCAGCGCTGTCCCTTGGCCCAGCCACAACACTGGGGACGGCGGCGGTATTCCATGATTGACTACCCTCCACACCAGCATCCGTGAGACCCTGGAGTACAGTGGGGATCAGGGAGGGATGGTGGCTGCTCGTGGGGGTCACTGAGGAGTAGGATAGATGGTCAAAGAGGGGTCGCCAGGAGCCGCTGGGCGATGACTCATAACCCAGGGACACTTTTCGGCTGCCTGGTGGGATGCGTGGGATGGCTGTGCTGTGGGCCCCGTGGCTGGTACGAATGATACCCGGGTGCGAGGTGCTAATGGAGTGTCGAGGACCACCCTGTGTGGGTTGGGGGGACTTTTCCTGCAGTTGGTGGGGTGGCACCAGCCTGGCTAGGGATCCATCCAGCATCTCAGTAACAATGCTGCCATGCATGGACCTGAAGGATTTCCTATGGCCTATGGCCTCAGGTACTAGGGGTGTGCCAGAGTCAGTGTCCATTTGGAATTGACTGGGCACTGCCCTGCTAGCTGAGAAGGGCTGATACGGCATGTGGGAAGCCATGCTGGAGGTCCTGGACCACTGAGAATGACTTGTGGTCCCCATCTGGGCCATGGACTGTGGGGGCTGGCTAGGGGCCATGGAACTGCCTCGGAGCAGCTGGGGTGATCTGGACATGGTGGTTAAAGTTGTTGCCTGGGATTGGCTTTGGGGAACCATAGGAAAGTCATAAGGGACTCCAGAGGTGCCCTGGGGTTGGCTCATGACCCTGCTAGCCATCATATTAGGACTGCTGGTGATCCCACTACTGGCTACTGCCCTTGGCTGCAGAGTTGGGGTGGTGCTGCCAACCATGGAGTACTTGGTTAAACTGGGGGCCTGTGAGGGGATAGGAGCCACACCACTGACCACAGGACTAGGAGGTGGAGCTCTAGCCAAGTTATTGGACACATACTCTGAGGGAAAGGCATGAACCACGCCACTGGCCCTGGAATCGAGTGGCAGAGTCCTAGTGCTGGTCATAGATGCTCGGGGAAGGCTAGGGGCCATAGCACCAGTGATGGAACCTGGCGGAAAAGTGTGTGCCATGCCACTGGCCACAGACTTAGCATGACTGGTTACTGCCTTCCCCAAGAGTGGCATCTGGGACTCATTCACAGTCCTCTCCTCCATCTGAGGCCTGTAATCATCATCCATGCCGGGCTCTATGGGCTCTTTGTACATCCAGGGGGTTGCCTCAAGGACCAAAGACTTGCTGTTGAGGTCGTTGGACTCTCCACTAGATCCTGACATGTGGGAGGAGACCTCATCTAACTCTCCTGGATTTAACATGGTCTGGTTCTCTGTGGCCCCAAATGGCATCATCCCAATAGCCTGGTCCATTTGGGAGGCTCTAGATAGAATGGTGGGCACTCTGTATGACTTCCTGGCTATGCTACTTGTTTCTGAGGCCTGGGGGTGAACTTGAGCCATGCTAGCAGCATGGGATGGCTGGAAGGGAGTCAAAGACCCTTCTCCAGCCAGGGAACCATGGTAAGGATGAGGAGTAATCCCAATCAGCAGAGATCCAACAGGGACTGGAGTCACCACACTGGCTGTGGGTCCTAGTGTTGGGCTCTGATTCAGCCCCTCATCCACAGACACTGGAGCCATACTAGAGGCCCCCATGGTTGCCACAGAACCAGGGGGTACACTTAGGTCCATCCCACTTATTGCAGAACCTGGGGGAAGGCTTGGAGCAGCCATGCTCCCAATAGGTCCTGGGGGCAAACCCTGCCTCTTTCTACCCTGAAAAGCAACAGAACCTGGAGACAGAGTTCTGGCAAAGGGTGCGGCCATAGATCTTGGAGGAAGGGTCTGGGCCACACCACTGGCCACAGAATCCGGGAGATGGGTTTGGGCTATGCTGCTGACCATACACTCTTGGGGAAGATTTTGTTCCATGCCCCTGATCACAGACGGTGTAGCAGGGTTAGAAGTCATAGCAGTGGTCACAGGGCCTGATGCCATGGCTGTGGTCGTCCTACTAGCTACAGACCCTGGCCCCAGACCACTCGCCGTGCCCATCATAGACTCTTGCATGAGAATATTTGCTTGTTGGTAACTAGGAGTAACAACTATGGCCACTGAAGGGTGCTGGTAATCCAAGGCCATTGGAAGGTCTACATTCACTTGAGAGATGCTAGGGTACACACTGGCCAAGGAACCTTTGGACAGACTCTCTACCAATCTGTTTGAAAATGAAGGCCGTGAGAAGCTGGGGGTCACTGAGGTTTCTTCATGAGTCAGAGGCACACCTGCCCCCCAGGATGTAATGGGAGCCACACTACCAGACACATGAGGCTGACTTTGGCCTATACCAGTAGTCACACTTCTCCGAGACATGTGTGGGGTCATGGTAGTAGCCATGGCCCCCCGAGACATACTTGGGGCTACTCCAGTAGCCGTGGCCCCCCGAGACATACTTGGGGCAGTGCCAGCAATCACATTCCCTTGAGACATACTTGGGGCCATTTCTGTATACAGATTCTCCTGAGAGGCACTGATTTCCTGGTCTAGACCAGTGGCCATACTATTGGCCACAGAGGCCTGGTAAAGGTTGAGTGCAGAATCAGTGACTGGGGAAGGTTGACTCACAATCCGGCGACCCTCACTGAACTTGGAGTGCTGGAAGCTGGAGGCCAGCCCACTACCTATCAGAGGATTTTGAGTTGGAGCCCCCCAAGTATCTGGAGAAGGCTGGCTCTGAACTCGGCCCACATTGGCTGCATAGGGGGATGGTTTACTTGGTGTGGCCCCCAAAACCACAGATGGCTGATGCAAATTTGGGGTCACTGAATTCACCCTGGAGGTATGTCCACTAGAATCTATCCTAGAGGCTAAATTTGGCTGGTCAAGGCCATAACTCATGCTACTGGGCACAGATGGCTGGGATGCACTTGGGGCCACCCTTCTGGCCACTGACGCTAGGCTAGGGGCTACCATATTGGCTGCAGATGACTGGACTAGATAGAGGTCTACCCTATTATCCACCGATGCCTGGGATACACTTGGGGCCACCCTTCTGGCTACTGATGCTAGACTGGGGGCTGCCCCAGTGACTGCAGATGGGTGGGAGAGGCTGGAGGTCACCCTATTGGCCACAGATATCTGAACTACGCTTGGAGTCATCCTGTTGGCAGTGGATGGTTGGGCTAGGCTTGGGGCCACCCCACTGGCCACAGATGGGTAAGAGAGGCTGGGGGCCATCCTGTTGGCTGCAGATGGTTGAGCTAGGCT